GGTGACTTGCTAAGAGCAAATTCGCCATAGAAATGTATCATTTGTTCCGGATAACAAGTTTTATTAAATGGACTTCTGGTTAGGGTCTTGAGGACGTGACCTTACATACTTGTATACATTATACAGGTATGTTTCATATTACTGGGGATAGACCTGGGCCCTGTGTTACAAAGAGTTGAAATCAATTGCATCTTATTTGGGATTTATATCAATCGCAGCTATGTACATAAGGCATAGGAGACTGCAACATTGCGATTGATTTTATTTTGATCAATTACAACTCTTTGTAAGACGGGGTCCTGGTCCAGAGTCATCAACTTTTCTTCCCTTCATCTTTCAGCTGGAGTCCCGGATGAGAAAATCGCAGCGCTTGCTGAGAATCCCAAGGATGAACATGCCATCGAGCAGCTTGGCATCAACTTCGGCTTCAGGCAGTTCAAGGTCAATCAATACCTCAAGAGCAACAGAGACCATGGCGATCATTCAGGAACCCTGGCCATGCTCCAGGCTTGGAGGAAGAAGACCCCTCGGACGAGGCAGACACCGAACCTGGTGAAAGCCCTCAAGAATGCCGGCATTGATGGGTCGTTCAACAACAATTAAGGTAGTACCTGAGCCACGTTTCATGAATTAAAAAGAACTATATGTGATTATTGATATAAGCTACGGACATTTTAACATTTTAATGGATTTGAGTAGAATTGTCATAGATCTGTCCTAACAAGTTTTATGAAACAGGGCTCAAGGGCGGATCCAGGATTTTGAAGAAAAAGGGGAATAATATTCAATTTTATATTGAAGCCCCCTCCAAAAAAATATATATAGAAGATGGGGATGGAATAGGAGGCGATGAAGAATATGAAGAAAATGAGGCCATTCCTAAAGAAAGAGGCACAATCTTGATATTGTGTCACGTAAACTGTGTCATTTCATATTTACATGTTGACATATAATAGTCAGTTTCATTCTGGGGGAACCCACTAAGGAATAAAAAAGTCAAGGTCCATTAAGGATGTTTCATCAAAGTAAATCTTTTCCGACAAAACTTAAAGATATTTAAATGATCAGATGTATTATGATTAGATTTAGATACCTAGGCTCATTAATAGGAAAAATGCTACAAGTGCATATAATTTTATTCTTTCTAGATAACTGAAGTTCTGAACTCAAGGTGACATCACCTCTTGGAACCCTAAGATCTCTGCCTCATCATGAAGAAAAGTACATTTTGATACAATTTGAGGCTTATGCAAATTATTTAGGGGAAATACTGCCATCATCGTCATATCCCGAACTTTTTCTCCACATGCATGTTGTGTGCAGGAAAGCGAGGGTACGAGTCGGTTCTTGTGGAGACGATGCAGACTGTGAATGTACAACACGACGGCGATTAAGAGCGGATAATGATGAATGAAGGCAGATAAACGTTTATTTTTATTCAGTAATTATGTTTAAAAAGCACCTTGTTACTGTTTTTGCTTTTTGAAATTGAAAGACACTGCATTGAGACATTGGACAAGACTAACACATTGCAGGATACTAGTGTGCTAAATACAATAATAACACATATTCATTACGATTTAATTTGATATGCCGACCTGCATATGTGAGAACGCCTGATAAAATAGGATTTGTAATAAAACATTATATTAACAAATGTGTTTAAATCACATAAGCCGGGTTGAAATGCCCCACTATCATATTTGCAAAAATGTATACATTTATATCTTTACGCTAAAGTTTTCGCTACCAAGCCTTTGTAGAATTTCGCGATTTTTTTATCAATTTCGGACGAATTAGCATCGTTGTACTAAATGTATTTCTAATTAGGCCTATGTCTTTACAGTTAAGTTAGTTAAGATACTGAAGTTAAATATGTTTCTTAGTTATAGGTAGATTTGATTGCATCAACTATGTTATTATTTGTTTTGCCACCTGGGTAACCAAGACTTAAGATTTAGCCTAATTGTTAAAGTACTACTTGGGAACATTTCGTAAATACGAGTTTATACGAGTATATACGAGTATATATTTCGTTTATATTTCGTTTATACGAGTTTATACGAGTTTTAAATACGTTGTAAAAAATTCGTAATGAATTGATGTAAATATTACTTACGCAAAACATGTATTCAGTTGGGTAGTTAATTGTTTTCCCGTAAAAAATATTTTGTTGTCATTGGACTACATTTCATTACAGGATGGAAATGGAAGAAGGTGAAGGGAGAATAAAAATAAAGAAAGTGCTTACTAAGAGAGAGAGAGAGAGAGAGAGAGAGAGAGAGAGCATGAGAGCGAGAGAGAAAGAGAGAGAGAGAGAGGGTGGTAGAGAGGGAAGAGGAGAAGGGGAGTGGGAAACAGCGAGACAAAAAGAGAGAGAAAGAGAAAAAAAGAAGAGAGGGGGAGAGAGAGAAAAGGAAAGGGGAGAGTAGGAGAGGAGGAGGGAGAGAGAGAGAGAGAGAGAGGGTGGTAGAGAGGGAAGAAGAGAAGGGGAGTGGGAAACAGCCAGCCAAAAAGAGAGAGAAAGAGAAAAAAAGAAGAGAGGGGGAGAGAGAGAGAAGGAAAGGGGAGAGTAGGAGAGGAGGAGGGAGAGAGAGAGAGAGAGAGAGAGAGAGAGAGGTAGAGAGGGAAGAGGAGAAGGGGAGTGGGAAACAGCGAGACAAAAAGAGAGAGAAAGAGAAAAAAAGAAGAGAGGGGGAGAGAGAGAGAAGGAAAGGGGAGAGTAGGAGAGGAGGAGGGAGAGAGAGAGAGAGAGAGAGAGGGTGGTAGAGAGGGAAGAGGAGAAGGGGAGTGGGAAACAGCCAGCCAAAAAGAGAGAGAAAGAGAAAAAAAAAGAGAGGGGGAGAGAGAGAGAAGGAAAGGGGAGAGTAGGAGAGGAGGAGGGAGAGAGAGAGAGAGAGAGAGAGGTAGAGAGGGAAGAGGAGAAGGGGAGTGGGAAACAGCGAGACAAAAAGAGAGAGAAAGAGAAAAAAAGAAGAGAGGGGGAGAGAGAGAGAAGGAAAGGGGAGAGTAGGAGAGGAGGAGGGAGAGAGAGAGAGAGAGAGGGTGGTAGAGAGGGAAAAGGAGAAGGGGAGTGGGAAACAGCCAGCCAAAAAGAGAGAGAAAGAGAAAAAAAGAAGAGAAGGGGAGAGAGAGAAGGAAAGGGGAGAGGAGGAGAGGAGGAGGGAGAGAGAGAGAGAGAGAGAGAGAGTTGTAGAGAGGGAAGAGGAGAAGGGGAGTGGGAAACAGCGAGACAAAAAGAGAGAGAAAGAGAAAAAAGAAGAGAGGGGGAGAGAGAGAAGGAAAGGGGAGAGTAGGAGAGGAGGAGAGAGAAAGAGAGAGAGAGAAAAGAGAGAGAGAGAGAGAGAGAACGAGAGAGGGGGAGGGAGACAAAGAGAGAGAAAGAGAAAAAAAGAAGAGAGGGGGAGAGAGAGAGAGAGAAGAAAAGGGGAGAGTAGGAGATGAGGAGGGAGACAGAGAGAGAGGGTGGTAGCGAGGGAAAAAGAGAAGGGGAGTGGGAAACAGCGAGACAAAAAGAGAGAGAAAGAGAAAAAAAGAAGAGAGGGGGAGAGAGAGAAAAGGAAAGGGGAGAGTAAGAGAGGAGGAGGGAGATAGAGAGAGAGGGTGGCAGCGAGGGAAGAAGAGAAGGGGAGTGGAAAACAGCGAGACAAAAAGAGAGAGAGAAAGAGAAAAAAAGAAGAGAGGGGGAGAGAGAGAAGGAAAGGGGAGAGTAGGAGAGGAGGAGGGAGAGAGAGAGAGAGAGAGAGAGAGAGGTAGAGAGGGAAGAGGAGAAGGGGAGTGGGAAACAGCGAGACAAAAAGAGAGAGAAAGAGAAAAAAGAAGAGAGGGGGAGAGAGAGAGAAGAAAAGGGAGAGTAGGAGAGGAGGAGGGAGAGAGAGAGAGAGAGAGAGAGAGAGGGTGGTAGAGAGGGAAGAGGAGAAGGGGAGTGGGAAACAGCCAGCCAAAAAGAGAGAGAAAGAGAGAAAAAAAAGAAGAGAAGGGGAGAGAGAGAAGGAAAGGGGAGAGTAGGAGAGGAGGAGGGAGAGAGAGAGAGAGAGAGAGGGTTGTAGAGAGGGAAGAGGAGAAGGGGAGTATGAAACAGCGAGACAAACAGAGAGAGAAAGAGAAAAAAGAAGAGAGGGGGAGAGAGAGAAGGAAAGGGGAGAGTAGGAGAGGAGGAGAGAGAAAGAGAGAGAGAGAAAAGAGAGAGAGAGAGAGAGAGAACGAGAGAGGGGGAGGGAGACAAAGAGAGAGAAAGGAAGAGAGAGCGAGAGAAAAAGCTGAGAGAGAGAGAGAGCCACAGAGAGACCGAAAGAAAATATATTCATCCGAGACATGTTCATAATGCTAGGAGTCCACTGGGCCGGCGCCAGTTGGTGCCAGTTCGCGCCAAAGATTATGTGATTGGCGCGTAGTGGCTCGCTGTGGCGCCGAATTAATGTCCGCTCGGCATGTGTCGCCAAGTGGAATAAACTGGGTGCCATATGGCGTGCGCCAAATGCCACCCGGCTTGCTCCAAAATGTTGCGCCAGTTCGCGCCAGTTTGCGCCATTACACGGCCATTTGATTCCAAAATTCACCCTGTTGGCGCCATTCGCGCCAATAGACGGCTACTTTGCGCCACTTGGTAATTAGTTTGTGCCAAAGGTCGCCAAATTGGTTTGAACTTGCCGCCGCTTGGCGCTACTTGCCGACTAAATAAATACCGGCCATTGGCTACCTGGTTCAGACCCTCTTCAGCTGCTGTATGAACAACATCTCTACTAAATATTTACAATTTTGATATGTCTGAGGCTTTTGATAATGTTGGAGTGATGATACTGCTCCATCAGAAGATGATAAGAGATGCTGAGGTGGCCACTGCCTATCAACGTATGCTGGCCAATCCTGAAGAAGAAGAGCCTCCTAAGAAGAAAAGGAAGCACAACTGGTGGTTTAGACCCATGCTCCACCCACAGTTGAGGGCCGAACGTGGACAGTACCACACTTTGATGGAAGAGCTGAGTGAGAATGACAGGAGGAAGTTCAAGAACTACACAAGGGTGTCCCCAGAGATGTTTGATGACCTGTTGGTCAGGCTTACACCCCACTTGCAGAAAAAGGACACCCACATCAGGAAGGCCATTCCCCTGGTCTCAAGCTGTCCGTCTTCCTGCGCCATCTCGCCAATGGGGCCACCTATGCCGAGCTGTCTTTCAACTTCCGAATGGGCAAGGAAACCATCCAGAAGTTTGTCCCTGATGTAGCCAGAGCGGTAGTGGATGAGTATGCTACAGAAGTCATCTCCCTCCCCACAACCAATGAAGGCTGGCTTGAGGTTGCAGGTGATTTTGAAGCCAGATGGAATCTTCCTCACTGTCTGGGAGGCTATGACGGAAAGCACATCCGTCTCCAGAAGCCCAACAAATCAGGCAGCCTTTACTTCAACTACAAGCAGTTCTTCTCGGTTGTCCTGATGGCTCTGGTAGATTCAAAATACCAGTTCCTTTGGATCGATGTGGGTGGGGTTGGCCATCAGTCTGATGCCCAGATCTACAACAACAGTGAACTGAAGGAGTGCATTGAAGCTGGCACTTTAGGCATCCCAGATCCAGCTCCTCTTCCCCATGATGATGAAGAGCACCCTATGCCGTACTTCTTCGTGGGAGACTATGCCTTCGCCATGAGGACGTACATGATGAAGCCTTATGGCCGTCGTAACATGGACCAACAGCAGAAGATCTTCAACTACAGGTTGTCCAGGGCAAGGCGTGTGGTTGAAAATGCCTTTGGTATTCTGGCTCTGCGGTTCCAGTGCTTCCTTGGCCAGATGAGACAGGAACCAGACACAGTCCGCCTGCTCATTGAAGCTGCCGTCATGCTGCACAACCTCATCAGGAAGCACTATCAAGCATGGGACGTCCGCATGTTGGACCAGGAGGATGCCCAGCACAACCTCATCCCTAGAGCTTGGAGAACTGCCGCCATCACTGTGAGAACGTCCTGCGATGCCGCCCTGCTGTTATAGGCGGCAAGTGGCGCCGAATGGCGGGCAATCAGGTGGCATTTGGCGCGAAGTAGTCACCAATCGGGTGCCGTTTGGCTCGCGTAGTGGCGCAAACAAGGTGCCCCTTGGCGCCAAGTGGCGCCATGTGGCGCGAAATCTCATTGGCGCAACTTGGCGCGCGCCATTACATTCCAGTGGATTCCAATAGGCGGATTGTTTGCGCCAAAGGGCGTTATGTTGGCGCCATTTGGTTCCACTTGGCGGACACTTGGCGCTGATTGCTCGATGCAAGTGGCGCGACGAAAATTTCAAACATTTTGAAATTTTCTTGCCGCCACATTCAAATTTGGTGCCGTTGCGGGCCACCACGAGCCAGTTGGGAGGCAGTTTGAGCCACTACACGCCACTAGGCACCTTATTGGCGACACTAGGCGCCACAGTAAATTGCATTGGCGCAAACTGGCGCCAACTGGCGCGGCCCAGTGGACTCCTAGCATAACAAAGCATTATTACAGGTGTACAGTCAACATCTATTTTATTCATAGCCCTTGTATTTGGATGTTTTACTTCGTTTTTCCTTACTCAAGAATGAAACGTGGACTGGTTGAATTAGGGCCTGCGTTGAATACTTTAGATGATAACTTTAATATGTCACGTCCTCAAAGAAACATAAATCGGGCAAATCATTTTTCTTTTAATTACAAAACTTGGTGAGGGTATGAATAGTGTAGCTGTTAACTGTAGATATTATGTTATTGTACAATCAGTCAATGAAGAGTTTGTTCCTCTTACGAACAGTGTGAGGCGCCTAATTTAGTGTTGGATTTTCTTTCTCAATAAGAGCATTGTGAATACAAAGGGGTTTCGATTTGTGATCCCATACAAATATGATCGATAGAAATCTATTCTTCTTCTCCAATGCACCATCTCCATTATCTTTGTCATGAACACGGGGGTCTATACAGGTGGGTTTTTCCCCAGGGGGTATTTTAGCACACAATTAAGTTTACGCCATATGCCACATTGCCTGGCTACGTTTTAAAGCATATATACATTAGCTTTTTTGAATTCATGTTTATACAAACAGGCATAACAGCTGGTTAATACTAGCTAACGACAATTATTTGAGTGTACACTAATGGGATATGAATATAGAAATACGTTAAAGGGGAAGTCAACTCTGATATTAACTTATATTTAATGGAAGCATTTGAAGCATACATTTGAGGAAGTAAACATAGCATGAATATGAATCAGCATGGATTTGCCTATGCGGTGGTCACATCCCGCCGTACTTGCAAGTGCGTGCTGTCTACGTGCAAAAACGTGGGCAAAATTTGGGTATCGGTACGTGGTGAGTACCGCCTCCGTACGGATTTGGGAGCACGCAGACACACCGTAGCACTTTTAGTGCACGAGGAACTTTCGCTGCGTTCGGGCTACCGATTCACCCCCAGTGCGCGTGACGTGCATGCCCGGTACTGCCAACGAGCGCACAACGCACTGACTCCGTGCGTTTTTAAATTTGTTTCCCACGATCACTTGCTATACGGAATGCGCACTTAGCACGTGCGTGCTGCGCACGTGATAAGCGCGTGGTCCGTGCTTACTCGCCACTTCCCCAGTTCAACTTTCTAATGAGCACGCAGAACTCACGTGGACCGTACCGAGTAAGCACGTGCTCCGCACTTACAACGCACGTTGTGCGCACTGATTTATGCAGTATACAAAAGCCGACCCAACGGAAGAGTGCCAACATTTCGTCTCCAAGATGGCGCCGAAGAAGACACAGAATAAGGGGTCAGCTGCATCTCCAGCTCAAAAGGCAGCAGATAAGAAGGCCCAGAGAGGCCCAACAGAAACGGGCCGCGGAAGATGAGAGGGCCAGAGAGGAAGAGGAGAGGAGGAACGAAAAAGAGTCAGATGGTGACGCCAAAGCGTCTGATCATGAGGAGGGTGCTGCTGGTGGATCGGAGAAGGGGTCACATGAAAAGGGTGTGACAAAGGAAAAGGCCAACTGCTCGTTCTCGGCGAAACAGGAGGAGCGCCTGGTTGAGTTCTTCTCGGTCAACCCGGTCTTCTTCGATAAGTTTCCCAGGGTTTTCCCTTCCCTTGAGGCCCGTTGGCCGACCATCTGGTTGGGTTCGGTCATCTGCACATCCTCCCTCCAGGCCCCGGGGACCACGTTGCCATCCTCATCCTCGTGGTCCAAATTAAGGTCCTGTAGTCCGGACCGGCGCTTTCGCAGCCAATTGTGAAGGGTGAGGCAGCCCAACACAACGCGAATCACCCTGTCAGGCTCCAACAGCAGGGTGGTGAGTAGGCACCGCCACCGGTGAGCCAATATCCCGAAGCCGTTCTCCACAACCCGACGGGCCCGAGAGGTCCGATAGTTCATCACGCTCTCTTTGTGGGTCATGGCACGGCGACTGTATGGCTTCAAGAGCCACTTTCGCAGGGGAAAAGCATCATCGCCTACGATGAAGTAGAGAAAGTTCCGGTCGTCGCCTGGAAGTGGATCTTGTGCTGGGAATCCAATGGTGTTGTCCTCCAGTGCCCCCCGGAGGGTGGACTCGTTGAACACGCTTGCGTCTGAGGAAGAGCCGTTTGCCCCCACCTTGCACCACAAGAAGGAATAGTTAGCATCCACGATGGCCAGGAGCACCACAGAACAGAAGCGCTTATAATTGTAATAGAGCGATCCACTTTTATTGGGCTTCTTGATGGCGATATGTTTCCCATAACAGTGGTGAAAGTTCCATCGCGTTCCAAACTGGCTGGCGACGGCTTTCCACTCGTCCTGTGTGGAGGGCATGTTGAACATCTCCTCCTTATGTTCCTTGTAGATGGCGGTGCAGACCTCCGGCACGAACGTGGATATGCTGTTGTGTGCCACCCGGAAGTCGTAAATTTTAAAGCAAAACCAAGAATTTGTTATGGCAGAAATGAAGACACACACCTTGGGCACTTGGAGATTCGAGGGGTCACTCGGAGCAGGAGCTCGGCGAAGAGATTGGGTCCATTCAGATGTATCCGACATAGTCCCCCCGCGATTCACGCTCTAGCTCTTGGAACAACGTTTCGTACTGCCCGAAAGCCTCCTCCTCTCGATCCATGGGCGAACCCACCATCTCCTGCGTCGGCATCTCTGTTGCCTCTCTCTCTCCCGTATCAAGGCAAGTAATACCACGTCGTGCTCATGCGTTGCCACTTGAAGGTGTTCTTGCAGCATCAGAACCCGGAGTCTCTGCGGTGGAATGGACGGCATCATGAGGAGGCAGCAGCAGCTGGGACTTCTAGAGAAAATGGGAATGTCGTCCTATATACTTCGACATACCCCGACTCACCAAGTTCTTCGTACGTGCACGCACTTACAACGTGCGAGTGAGTAAGGACACCGTACGTGAGCAGCACGTGTAAGTACGGCCTCTGTAAGATAACGTGGCAACCGCACGGAGACCGTACGTTGTAAGCACGTAGTAAGCACGTTGTAAGCACGTACAACGCACTTACCACGTGCGCAACGTACGATGCACGCAACCGCTCTAGGCCAGGCGTGGCGTGCGGGCCACGTACTTACACCGTGCGTGTGACGTGCTTTGCCGGTACTCCCTCCCTGCCTTTGCCACTCCCTCCCTACGTTTTCATAAAACGTGGCGGCCGTGGCCTCCCCAAAAACCGTACGGACTAAAAACACGCACGGTGGGATGTGACCAACGCTTAAAGGGTGTTTTGTTCATGTTCGTTATGCGGCGTATCTGCTTTGATAATAACTTGAGATTTGTATTTGCACACACCACTGTGAGGGTCCATGATTCATTGTCACCACCGAAAAAAAGGCCATGTCAGATTTACAAGGTAAGAAGAATGAATTGCTCGGAAAGGGGGCCATAATCATAAGTATTGTTAAGTATCTCATGTTGGCGCCAAAATCAGGCTAAAAGCCTTGGTTTTTAAACAGTTTGATGAACAGGTTGTGTATTTTTGTTCCTGGTACTTAATGATCAATGCATACTGGTTCAGTTCGCTCAAAATCTTGCTAATTTTGGCACTGCTTTTGTGCTTTTAAACAAGTTCAAAGTCTATTAAAGTAGTCGCCATAGCAGAATAAAATTGGCAGAGCAAACATGATATTATGAATTGTTTCTATATACGAACAGTGAAGCGAGTTTATCATGTGAATGTTTCGTGTAAGTAGTAAACAAAACCATGGACCTTGTACGTGATAAAACGTATTAGGTCAATATCGTTAAGCTTGTATATGAACATGAACAGACAATGGCGGAATCACCTGTGTGTATATGCACGTTAAATCCATTCGTATGAACCATTTGTGTTGTCCCATATACATCTTTCTGTGTACAGTGATTGTTACTTTACCAAGACTGGGCCAAATTTATGATGATTTTGATGACTCCAGAACCTTGCAGTACACACCAATACTTACATGCTATATGATCAACTTTTGTGATCCATCCCACACCCTTTCTTTCACAATGCAATCGCATTACCAGAACTCACCTTTATCTTTAATAAAACGTTATCACAATTGTACATGTAGATCTTTTATTATTGTAATAAGTAAATAATAGTTGGTCATGATTTTCGATCCTATGCAAATATCATGGATGAAAATCTATTTCTCTTCTTTAATGCATCATCTCCGATATCTGTGTCATGTTTGTATCATGTTGTAACCATGGTCACTGGAGTCTAAACAGTTGGGTTTTCCCCCGAGGGGTATTTTTGCTGACAATTAAAGTTGCGTCATATGACACTTTGCAAGGTTATTTTTGAAGCATACAGACAAATAACCTTTTTGGAAAACATGTTTACCCCAAAAGGCATAAAAGCTGGTCAATACTATTAACAGATGATGATTAATGGAGTGTACAAAAATCACAATGGAATGTTAAAACCCGTTCAAGGGGAAGTCAACCTATTAAATTGGTTTTAATAGAAGCACACAAAATAGAGAAGCAGGTCAGTAAAGGTTTGAGCAAAATCCGATTAAAAATAGG